GGGGGGGGGCGCGGGGCGGGGAAGCCTGTCTAACTCAGGTCTGCCAAGAGAGGACAATGGTCTTCCTTGGAAATAGGAGCTATTTTCTTCTATCCCACTCGCAAATGTGTTATCTCTTTGACCTTTTACCATTCGTATTTTATGCTAAATATAGCTGTGAGGATGGTGTTGGCTAATAAACATATTAATCACCTGGTACTATATTTGGAAACCATGGATTGTAAGAGGAATACCAGAAAGTCAGGGAATGAGGGCAAAATTCATGGCACAAAATTCATACAAATTTTAATGAGGGCTCTGATTTTTACAACTCTTAAGACTTTACACATATGTAAAAGGCTAGAGCCCATTCTTAGTTAAGAAATCTTCAGGTCGTAAAGGATAATGAGGTTTTAAAGCTCTTTTAGGCTTCACTTAGATTAATAGTGCACTTCAGGATCACCTGAAGGGCTTGTTAAAACATATAGATTCCTGCCCTAGCCAGTTTGGCTCATGGATAGAGCGTCAGCCTGCAGACTGAACGGTCCCAGGTTCGATTCCAGCCAAGGGCACATGCCTGGGTTGTGGGCTCAATCCCCAGTAAGGGGTGTGCAGGAGGCAGCTGATCAATGATTCTCTCTCATCACTGATGTTTCTATCTCTCCTTTTTCCTTCCTCTCTGAAATCAATCAATAAATATATATTTTTAAAAATAGATTCCTGGGCCCTACTCCAGGGTTCCCATTTCAGTAGGTCTGGTGTAGGATCCAAGAGTTGGCAGTTTTAAAATGTCCCAGGTGAAGCTGATACTGTTGATTTTGTGACCATACTTTGAAGTCTACGGGTCTAGAGATTTATCATTAGTGTTGTTAAATTAAATGTTAAATTAACATTAATATTAATATTAATATTAATAGAACAAGCAGACTTCTCATCTTTCCCCAAAAGCTGTCCAAAGATTGAATGAACAATTAAGAAGGGAGAGGTGATTGTCTTATTAATAAGACTATCTAGATATAGATTATCAGTCTCTTGGTAGGAAGGTTGTTAAAGGGAATTAGAGATTCAGGTTTCATGTGGAATTTAATTTTAAGGTTCCTTCTAATCTTGATAGCCTCGTGATTCTATAAGGTAGACCAAAATAGTTATAAAAATTAGAAAATAGCCCTCGCCAGTTTGGCTCAGTGGATAGAGCATGGGCCTGCTGACCAAAGGTTCCTGGGTTAGATTCCGATTAAGGGCACATGCCTGGATTGCGGGCATGATCTCCAGTGGGGGCATGCAAGAGGCAGCCAATCAGTGATTCTCTCTCATTATTGATGTTTCTATCTCTCTCTCCCTCTCCCTTCCTCTCTGAAATCAATAAAAAATATATTTTAAAAAAAAGAAAATAAAACATCAATTTCGATTCATAAATATTTATATATGCATATACTTAGAAATGTGAGTTGATTCGTGCATTTGGAATAGAGGTTGGTAAAGATTCCTGAGAAGTTGTAAAGATTCTTCTAAGGACTTAAGAAATGTATCAGATTCATAAATGAGGCAATAAATACTAACTCTGGAGTTAAAGACCTTTTTTTTTTAAAAGGATGTTGGGTAGCTAATATCACTGAAAAGGTTGCAGAATTAAACTTGGAAAACAAGCACCAAGCTAGTTAGACAGCAAAAAGGACCACAGCCCAAAATCATAGTACAAAAGCGAAATGGTAGAGATACCATGCCACCGACCAACCCTGGGCACCAGGGCTGCCCCTGAAAACTTGATTCTGCTGCCACTGCAGTCCTTGCCCTTCCACCAAATAGGTTCTTAGTGATTTCTGCTTCTTGGTGACACTACCCCAATTCAAAGTCCAAGTCTGAGCATTGACTGGTAGAGTTATGAATGCTCACACTCGAGCACCAAGATAAGATAGGGAATTCTCTAGATAGCAGAGCTATTGGGCAGTTCCCCAAATGATAGACATTCAGCGGGAGGGCCCTCCAGAGTTTCTTCCACAGGATAGTACTAGGTGTTATCACAAAAGCATTCAACATTTCTTTTTTATCATACTTTGGCAGCAGGGTACTTCAGAGCTTTTTAAAAATGCGTATGCATTTTGCTTCTCTAAGAGGGAAGTATGGTGTGCAATATTTGTCAAACTTACTTGAGCAAGACACTTTTTCATAGTAACTCTGAGTTTCGTGGAACACATCCTGAGAATGCTGGAGGCGGGAAATCTAAGAAAGATAGAGATCATGCACAAAGGATTGCAACAGACATGCCCAGATGTAATAAGAAGTGAGAGCACTTAACAAGGTGGACAGAATGGAGAGTGCCTTGAGGTCTGCAAGTCAAGTTCATGTTTGATTCATTGGAAATTAGCTGTGGTGAGATTGAGCTTGAAAGTTCTAGTTAGCTTGAACTGGTAGTTTCAAAGGTGGCTCTGATTGTGGTGCATAGAAGATTGGGCCCTGGCCAGAAAGCTCAGTTGATTAGAGTGTCGTCACAATACACCAAGGTTGTGAATTCGATCCCAGGTCAGGGAACATAGAAGAATTAACCAGTGAATTCATAAATAAGTGAAACAACAAATCAGTGTTTTTCTCTCTCTCTCTCTCTCATCAATAAATAAAACCTTTTTAAAAAAAGAAGAGTTGGGAGAGGAGAGTCAAAAAACAAAACCCCATGAAAAGGTTTGATCAGTTATGATTTACAATTAGAAATATAGATCTAAATGGAGAGACAAAGACTCCTATCTTAAAGATATGGGAGCCAAATCTACCCACAGCCTAAGCTAAGAATGGTTTTTAATTTTTTAAACGGTTGGGGGTAAAACTCAAAAGAATAATGATATTTTGTCTCACATAAAAATTATATGAAATTCAAATTTCAGTGTTCATGAGTAAATTCCATTGCTCTCATTTGTGGGCCTATATTACAAAAAAATTATGTTCAATTATTATTATATTTTGACTTTCATCACTTAAATATGCATGAAATCTTTTCTCTCTTGTTATATAAGCACCTACATAATTTTCAGTTTTGCCTCTTGGCCCACAAAAGCTAAATTATTCTATCCAGCCTCTGCTCGAGTCCACTGCCCTCCTTTTACTGATACTGAACTGAAGCTCATAGTAATTTGAACTGAGGTCTGAAGCTACCCAGTGATGGAACCCAAGTGTTTCAACCCCTATTCTAGAGCTCTTTCTAGTGCATCTTAGATGCATCAGTCCAACTGATGTTAATACGAAGAGTGGTGTGTGTGGAAGACAGGACAGGGAGAGGCAGCGTCCACCTCTATCCCAGTGCTAAAGTGTCACTGGATGCTCATCCATAAGGAACATGATGGAGAAGCACAAGGAAGGGGGTGAGGGGGGATTCATAGCGTCACTCAAATCTTGTAAACCAGCCCAATTGACACCTGGGTCTTCTGACTTCTACATTTCTGCATTTAAAGCATTTCTTGTATTAACTCAAAGATGTCTAGCCAAAAGGTGAACAATGTGGAAATTCCTCCTTTTTTACACATTAATGTGCTATGATGCGGAAGGTCACTTATGTGGCAGGGCTTATTGTTTTTACCATCACTACTTAGAAACAGAAACCTTCAGCTTTGTTTCTTGAGACAATTAGATTTTATATATTTGGTTAGTACTTCCAAGTGAGATAGCATGTATCAATGGCCAGATAAAAAGGAAATCTGACATTGAGAAGGATTCTGAAGTAAGGTCCCAGCCTCTGGGAAACGGAGGATTTCATTATCAATGTCAGCCATAGATATAGGAAGAGAAATCACCTCCCTTCGGATGTCCTGGGGATATTAGAACATTTTGTTGAAAATATTTGGTTGTGCCAAACCGGTTTGGCTCAGTGGATAGAGCATCAGTCTGCGGACTGAAGGGTCCCAGGTTCGATTCTGGTCAAGGGCATGTGCCTTGGTTGCAGGTGCATCCCCAGTTAGGAGGCAGCTGATCGATCTTTCTCTCTCATCAATGTTTCTAACTCTCTATCCCTCTCCCTTCTTCTCTGTAAAAAAATCAATAAAATATATTTTTTTTAAAAAAGAAAGAAAATATTTGGTTGCCAGAGAATTCTAGGATATAGAGTGATATTGTAGCTATTCATTTTGTTCATTGTATAGTTTATTGTATTTATATATATTATAGTTTAGTCTATAAAACCTTTCTGTTTATGAACTTTATTACCTCTCTAATCAAGTCTGTAAGTATTGTGATTTTTTAAAAGAAATCAGTGGTCCACCAAGGTAATTCTTTTCTTTCTGGTTCATGTATTATATAGTCTAAGCAAGAACAGGCTAAATGAATTCAGTATAAATAAATGCTATACAAATTTTTTTTAAATAAAATTCATTGGCCCAGTCAAAAACTGGTGTTCTTGTAAGCTTCGTGCAAACTCTTTTTTAAAGGTGTAAGTAGATTTTTCAGAATGAGATTGCTGAGTTGAAAGAAGCCCTAACATAGCTCCCAGCCTCCTTTAGCAAAATTGAATCCCAGTAGATGAGTTAGGGCTGTGCTTTCACGGGGTGCTGATGTTGAGAAAAAGCCTGAGATGGACACTTAGTTCTGGGGAAGTGGTTCCACTAACCACAGCCCTGACACGCTGTCATGGCAGCAACACAGACATGTTGACAGCCGGGCCTCAGAGGCTCACTTCCTTTGCCTTGTGAAATCCCTCTCCTGGAAGTCGCTAAAAATCACAAAGTCTGAAATTTGGAAGAAGATTGGTGAAAACCTGATAGTGCTGACAGCCCAACAGAAAGAGAGTGAGGGCCATGGCTTCAGGGTGTCCACCCACTAGGCAGTCAGTTCCAATGAGCAAGGTTCTTCCTGGCATCTGAAAGCGGACCGAGGAAGTGAGATGTGGGTACCCTGGTGCACCTCTGGTTGGGGCTCTCTTCTTCATAACATTACAGACTAATTAATTGTAATATCTTTCTCTCCCATTAGACCACTGTTTCTCAAATGGGGACAACTTCGTCCCCCAAGAGACATTTGCCTGGAGACATTTTTGGTTGTCACACCTGGGGAGGGGAGTGGCACCAGCACCTAGTAGGTGGAAGCCAGGGATGCTGCCAAACATCCTACAATGCTTAGGGCACCCACCACACAAAGAATTATCCTCTCCAGATGTCAACAGTGCACGGTTAAGAAACCCTGCAGTAGACTAAGATTCTTAGACCCATCTGTCATGCTCAGCACTCTATCCCCAACACCTGAGCACAAAAGGAGGCTCTCCGCACACCTTTACAGCTGGTTTCCCTAAGTCATTGCTTAGGCACCAGCCGGCACTACCCTGAGCATATTGCACAGGACTTAATGTTTCCTCTACCCCCATCTCACTGCTTCCGAGCTGCCAATGTCTCTGAAGGGGTGACATTTCTTCTGTCTCATCTCTCTGTCATCTCTCTATATTGAAATCTACATATGCATACTGTTGCATTTGCATTCTTGAGAAGAGATTGAAATAAAAGGGTAGATGTTTTTTCGTTGCTTATACCTAGTATTTTGAGGTACAGTAATGAACTATATTGAATGCTGGTTTTAGCGACAGTGATCATTAGGTTTATTATCAAGACCCTTCACTACTGAGTGTATGTGCGGGGGATGGAGGGGAGGTGGCAACATAAGAGCATTTATGAATATAGTATAGCAATTCTTTAGTTTGTGTATAGAACATGTTTATCCTTTTGAGGAGATCATTCTGGATGGCCCCAGAAGTTCCAGCAGAGAGCTGGGTC